TCACAGGGCAGATGTGAATTTCAAGGAAGGCCAGGCCTTTTCCCATATCACATTCTTCGGTGGGATTGTCAAAGAAGCAAACGTATATTTGCTATAACAATTGATTACGTTACTTATTCTTGGTATGTAAGTAGAGCTTTGAGACTAACAGTAAATCAGTAATATGATCCATAAAGAAATAGGGTGAATACATCTCATATTACTGATTTACTGGTAGTCTCGAAATTCTACTTACATACGAAAAATAAGTAACGTAGTCGGTTGTTATGGCCAATATAAGTTTGCTTCATCAGCAATCCCACCAAAGAATGTGATATAGGAAAAGATCTGGTCTTCTTTGAAATTCACATCTGCCATGTGACCCAAGGGCACTTATGGAAATATGGCGGAGTGGTTAACGTGTCAATCTCACATTCTGCACTGTCATAGTTCGAGTTCCGCTAGGGGTGTTGATAAGACCTATGCGAGGTCGAAACTGCAGTCAACTTCAGCCTGGATGAGAACAACTTTTGGGAAAGCAAGGCTATGTGAAATTCAATGGAAAAGTCAGCTCTACTCGTATTATTGTAGGAAAATTCTACTACCAGTCCCTCATCACCTTAAACGAAATAGGGTGAATACATGTGTTATATTACTGATTTACTGGTAGTTTTAAACTCTACTTACATAAGAAAAATAAGAAATAATTTGCCTTATGAAGAGAGGTTTAAATTTTCGCTCCAGATCGTCTTAAACATAGAGGCACCATTGATAAATAACACAAAATGACATGGTCAGGAAAGGAGTAAAGTAAATAAAATTTAATGGAAATAAGCAGTGCTCACTTATTACGCATTCTGGCGGCTGAAAGAATACATTGCGATAGTTGGCTAATTAGGAGAAGCCAAAAGCTGCATAGCCATTGAGCAAAAGAATTTCTACTATCTACTGCTTCATCCAGCCAAACAGGCGCCAACTCCCCAATCAAAAGGTGATAGGCTAGCACATGTGTGACGGGGACTTGTGGACCAGGCCAATGGCCAAACAAGCGAAGACAGAAGCTGATGAAATGCCCAAGGTCATATCGAATAGAAGGCGACTCATCGGCCAAATGAAAGCAGAGCAAATTGAGCAGGCTACAAGTGAATGAAAACAAGCAAGATTATTTTAACTGGAAATTGACATTTATCGGAAACTAGGCCGAACTATTTTAAATCAATAAAAATAATTCGAAAAGTAAAACGAATGGAATATTAGAAAATCTGTAGCTATTTACCTCATTGGATTACGCTGAAAATTAATTGCAACTAACTTTGAAAATATCTTTTTTTATTCTAAACTCGTACAAAGCAGGAGGTTGACAGCAAAGTCCATTGCCCAGTGATAAGGAAAATTCAATTTAAACTTAGCTCGCAGTGTATGCGAATGTGGATGAATCTAGATGGAAATAAGATGGTGGCGCTTATTTCGAGTTAAGTATTAATGAACAGAGAAGTAAAATAAAGAAATACTTTTTGTCAATAACATGAAATACCATAGATTGTACAATTAGAAACCAGAGATTCGAGAGTAGTAACAAATAAAGAGACCGTGTTAGGTCTGAAAATGAGTATCGACAATATGTTCATAAAAGCATGGAAAAGGACTTTATCAGAGATATCGCACGCTGCCACTAGCATTAGGTCAGGGGCATGTCTGAATGAGTTAAAAACTTACAATCTTTCGTAATTAATAAACGAGATATAATCTCGATTAATTGTTTTACAATAGCGCGCTTCCTTAATTTACAGCCATAATAGCATATTCTCTCACTATCATCGGTGATAAAAATTTGAGGAAAGGGAGCTTTCGTTTCGTATGGAAGTGTATAAAGAGCTTAGTAAATCGATCTCTTCAGAAGAGAACGACTGAATCTCGTTGTATTGCAGCCGTTTTGCTTTTATACGTCGTTCAGGTTGACACAGTCCACGAGACCTCCTCCCTCGTTTTCGGTGAAGACGCACTTAGCTTTCGTCCATCATCAGAGCTGGAACTCATTATTGTAAAAGTCTCAAGTTAACACTAGGGCAAGAAGACTATCCGGTTCGATCTTACCTCTTATGTAGACTCAATTCAGCAAAAGAAAATATATTGAATGGTCTGGCTAATTATCTTCCATAATACTCCTGCTACTTTTGCTCGCGTGTGTGTCTCACGCAGGCTTAAGATCTATTGGACCCAAATATCTTGATAACTCAGTGTCAGCAGACTGAGGGTAAACCTGCTTTGGCTACGAGAAAGAAAGAGTTAATGTTAAAAGACCGAAACGAGTTATTAAGGATTATCCTGATAGGGAAATCTGTACTTTATATAATGTCAAGTATAAATAGAAAATAATAAAAAAAATAAAAATTGAAACCAAATTTATTAACCTGATACGTTGGGCGGGCTCCAATCGCTCAGTTATCTGTGGCATTTTATGCGTCCCACACTGTGTATCTGTAGTTCTATGAGGACAATTAGCAATCCAGATAAGGATTGCCCGTGCTGTCAACTCACGTGCGGTTTGAGGTTGGGAGGTAGAAAGGCAGTCAGTCAGTTCGGCCAACCACCACTCTGCATTGCGTCTATAGGTGGATGGGTGGGATTTGGGTGAGAAGAATGATTGAATTGAGGGTAAAAGGATGGAGGAATCAGGATGAAGTGGGAGAATAACGAATAAGGACGAAGTCGGTGAAGCTGGGGGTGAGCATGAAAATTTATTTAAATGGTGTGACAATGGGCAAGCGATATAGACCCAATAGAAAAGGACAAATTGGAGTACTGGAGGTTCTGAATGATAAAAGATGATGAAGAGACTACGGTAAAGTACTAGAAGGTAATAAATTCTCAAACGAGAAAATGTCAAAATAGTAATTCATATATCTAAAATACAATTTGGGGATTCTTGCCTAGCTCCAATTTTGAGGAATGATTACATTGCAAAGTTTGAGGATCGCTTAATTCAAGAAGTAATTCCGACCCCTAAGTTGTTTGTTAGACATATGGATGATTATTCTGTCATTTGGTAATATAGTAAAGACAGTTTAAATAATTTCCTACTATCAATTGACCTCCATGAAAGAAAGATTAAGTCAGATGGAATTATAAGAGCCTACTTATTTTAATTCTACGATCATTAGCGAAGATGGTCAGTTAGAAAGAGAAGTTCATAGAAAACCAGTATATTCTGTTCTTAATTTTCTATC